CTGACTGGCACAGGAGGAGATTGCCCCTACTTCTTCAGCAGAACATCTGATGGATCTGAACCATGAGCCTTTGGGATTTCAGCACAGCTTCTTGCTACTAAGCCACCAGACCTCCCTCTGGAGAAGTTTTTTTATATGCATAGGATTTGATTCTTAGATGGTCCCGTTAATCTATTTCATTTTCTACTGGTTGTAGATTCTTGAGGATGCTTGGGAGACTACTCATATTCTGGATTAGGGCTTCTAGAGTTCTTCCAAGCTTTTCCCTGGTGAAGTTCATAGTCCTTGGTTTTACTCTGAAGTCCTTGATACACTTTGAGTTGGTTTTTGTGTATGGTGTGAGGTGTCAGTCTTGCTTGAGTTTTCTACAGATAGTTTTCCAGTTTTGCCAACACCATTTTTATTAAAGAGGCTTTTGTTTCCCCACTTAACTGATTTCATCTCCTTGTCAAAAATCAGTTAACCATAGATTGATGAGCTGATTTTCTGGGTTCTCAATTCTATTCTGTTGAACTATGTCTCTATCATTTTACCAGTACCACGCTGTCTTGACCATCACTGCAGTGTTTTAGGATTTGAGATCACGGAGTGAGATGTCTTCTTCCTCGTTTCTCTTTTTTAGGAGTATTTCTCATTCCCAACATTGTATACCATGTAATTATCTGATTCAGAGTGGCCAAAGCTAGTCCATCTCATCTCACTAATATCTAGAATGTCAATGTTCATGAGTTCATACTGTTGAAGACCATTCAAAAGCTTCTAGAACAATTCATGGATAAGAACTTCCAGAAGTTCAGACAGGACTTAGAAGAGGCTGTGGGACCAGGGATATTGTTACTGATGTCAGATGGATGCTGGCTGAAAGTACAGAATACCAGAAAAATGTCTATTTATGCTTTATTGATTGTGCAAATATATTTGACTGTGTGGATTATAACAAGGTAATCTCAGAGCACATAATTGTGCTCATGTGAAACCTACACCTAGACCAATGGACTGCTTTGCAAACAGACCAAGGGAATAGTTTAAAATTAAGAAAGGAGCACATCAAGTTTGTGTCCTCTTTCAATACCTGTCCAATCTGTATGCTGAGCAAATTATTTGAGAATCTGGACTCTATGAAGAAGAATATGGCATCAAGATCTGAGGATAATTCATCAATAATTTTTCACAGATGACATCTAACTTGCTAAAATAAAGAGGAAGCATTTGTTGCAAAAAATCAAAGAGTGCCGATTTTAATATGGATTGATTGCATCTCAACATTAAGAAACATAAATTCTTACCCCTACACCGATAGATGGAGAAAAGCTTAAGGCTGTCAAAGTTTACATTTTACTTGAATGCACAATCAACACTCTTGACACCTGCAGTCAGAAAATAAGGAAATAAACTGCCCTGGCAAAGTCTTCAGTCAGGGACCTCTCCAAATTATTGAGGAACGATGATGTCAGTTTGTTTTGAGGACTAAGGTGCATCTGATTCAGGCCATTGTCTTTCTGATCAGTTGCTATGCATCTGAGACCTGTACAATGAATAAGGATGACAGAAGAAGGCTTTGAGCTGTGGTGTTGAAGAAAAGTACTGTATAGCCCATGGACTGCCAAAAGAACAAATATGTTTGGGAAAAGGAGAGCCAGAGTGCTTCTTGGACATAAAGATGATAAAACTGTCTTATATACTTCAGTCATGTTGCTAGGAAAGGCTATTCCTTGGAGAGGGAAATCGTGCTTGGAACGGTGGAGAGCTGGAGAAAGAAAGGCAGACTCCAAATTAGGTGGATTGACATGGTGACTGTGGCAGTGGATGATGGCACAGGGGAGGGCAGGGTTCAGATCTGTTGTTTGTAGGGTCCCTCTAGGTCATACTCGAAGGCACCTAACTACAACAGCAACAGGGAATCTCACATTGGATAATGTTACAGTGACAATAATAATGGGCAGGTTGGAGATTGTGAGGATGGCGCGGGAAAGGGTACAATTCTGATCTGTTGCTCATAGGGTCACTATGAGTTGTAGTTGAATTGACAGCACATAACAACAGCATGTAACCTCTCTTAGTCCCAGAACATCAAATAACATCTATAGAATATATCCCCTTTCTAGACCTCATTGTGGACTTTGGCATTTTGTCACTACCTGAGTACATAATTAACACTTGGGTGTTACACAGGAATATCGATCTAAACCAATACCAGGTCCAAACCTAATCCGTTTCCTTTTCCAGTCCCATTCTTGTCTTCTGCCTGCTGTCTGCATCATAAAAACTCATGCCATTTCCCATTTCCTCAGAGGCTTAGGCCAGAGAAACCCAGTTATATATCACACTTTCTTCTTTCTTCTCCCATCAAGTCCTTCACCAGATTGTACTTTGCTTTCTGAAATCCCCATCTAGACTACCATCATATTTTGCCTGGATCATGTCACTTGTGTCCATGGCACAGCCTTGTTACTGCTGCTTGTACCCTCTCCCAGTACACAGCAACCAGAGTGAGATGTTAAAGAATGAATCTGTGACATTCTATTTCTTCTAGAATGCAGACCAGCATCTTTTTTGAATCCTGCAAAATTCTGCCAGTTACTCAGTTTTGAATCCTTGCTATGCTGTGTCTCGCCTTCTCCAGCCCTATTCATTAACTTTAACATATTAAACTCTTAGTGAAACTTCATCTCACATGCTTTAGGCATGTTGTCATGAGTGACCAGTCCTTGGAAAAAAACCCTTATGCTGAGAAAAAGTGGGGGCTCAGAGAATAACATGGATCAAGAAAATGAATTGGCCCAGTTATTGTAACAATGAGCGAGGACAGATCAGAGATGGGGAGGATGGGAGAAGGTAGGGCATGCTTCAGGTCCATTGTTCATAGGGTCGCTATGAGTTATAGTCTACCTGATCGCACCTAACAACAAAAACATCACACCGTGACTTAGTCAATAGGGATTTGTGCTGCTAACCCAAAGATTGCTCCTCTTCAGTGAGTTAAATCCAGTAGCGGTTTCAAAGGTCAGAGATGGCAACCTCCTGAAAACTCACTCGGGGGTCAGCTATGAGTCACTGACGACTGAAGGCAGTGAGTTTGTGTCACCGTAGAGATATGCCCCCTGTTGGCATGCTTCCCTTTCACCTGGCTAATTCTTCAGATTTTAGTTCCGGTCAGTGAAGGGACCCTGGAGGCACAACAGGTAAGGAAGCCACAGATTAGAGATAATAAGGGGAAGTATTTATAGCCCTCTTTAGCAGGCTAGGATGCAAACTGACTGCATTCTTTTTCCTGCTGCAAGACAGTAGGAGAGAATTGAAAGTACATAGTATTTCTGATTGGTGAGGATAGCGTTTTTGTCAGGTGGTTGTTGAGAAGGAGTCACAATCTTCAATAGCATTACTGTTAGAGAAATAGCTGATACAGCCCATGAGAGAGAGACATCAGGCACGAAGGACACTTAAAGCAATTTGATGGATCTCATTTAAAAATTTACTAATCATTAATGTTCTTAATTCACAAATCATTGGAAATGTGATCTTCTTGGAGGAAATACAGTTATGGTGCCTATAATCCTGGTTCCTAGGCTGTAAGAAGTCATCTTTGTACTAATTTTTAAATATTTCAAACTCCGTACTGGGAAGAGGTTTTCCCTCCCTTTAAACATTAACAAGCTAGTTTTACTTCTTACTTATAAAGAAGCTGTGGGGTTTAAATTCTGTCGACAGCATCATGGCTTGCTGGGTTGGGGTTTTGGGGTGGTTTGTTTTTTTTTTCATTCCTTCAACAGGTAACTGACAGGTACCCGCTGTGTTTTATATACTGCAGTCAGTCATCATCCATTTGTGAAGGTAAAATAGTGAATTCTAGGTACTTTTTAGGAAAATAAGTCTTTACCAAATAATTCTGCAGGAAAAGAGTAAGATGCTTTAAGGGAAAGCATTAATCAACTGATACTAACAACAACAACAACTATGTTTTAAGTCATTTTCCCCACATGTACATTACAAAGTCATAAGAATAAATTTCCTCATCCAGTTCAAGAATACAAGTGCAAACTTAAACATGTTTCTTTTCCAAGTTTAGTAGAAGTGCCAGTATCTTTCTTGAGGCGTAGTTATAGATTCCCTGGTGTTGTATGTCATTTTTCTTTCAGACCTAGAAAGTGCCTATGCTTGTTTAAAAAGAAAAAAAAGTAAAACAGGCTAACCAAAAGTAGCTTTAACTCTTCAAGTGCTACCTCCCATTACATACAGTTAATGAGAATGTCATGGTTAAGGGTTTGTATAAGATGGGCTTTTTTTTTTTTTTGGCTGGTTGGCAATTTTTCAGTTTATCAATTAACTTTTATTTAATAGATTTCTGTTTCTAAGCTTAACTACCTGAAGCGTTGAATATAAGCTAAAATGGATGAGTAGAAGAACACTAATTACTAATTATATTGATAAGCAGTTACAGTGATGTGTATAATTCTCTTCATTTTATGTTATCAATAAACCTGTCTGCCTCCCTTTTCCCCATCTTTTTTCCTTTGTTTGTCTGTTTTTAGGACCTGGGGATTCCGAAAGTGGGACATGTGAAGCGAATTCTCCAGGGAATTAAAGAGCTGGAAAGGAGCACTCTAGAAGCTGAAGTGTAATTGTGTTGGTGCTACTCCTTGGACGAGAAGTAATTACTTAAGAAGTAATTCTTAATACACAATTCCTTACTCTCGTCATTTTCTGCATAGATGAGGAAGTACCACTGAAGCACCTTTATGGCTTGATGTTTTACTGTGGGTGAAAAATGTTGATTTGAAGTGTTAGAAAATATTTTTATGCACACACTCAAAAACCAACCCATCAACCTACATTCCATGAAGCCATGTTCTTATTGTGCAAACTTGACTTGTTCAAATATGCCCATGTTAGTAAACAGATGAGTATCTGAGACAGTTACATTATCTCAAAGGATGAATTACAGTTTTCAAAATGTCTGGGCTTCTTACACCTGATGGAATGATTTTATTGTGCAATTACATAATATGTGGCTGAAATGTCTTCAAAGTCACTATCAGGAGCATTGGCTTCTTTAAAATCACTGGTTAGGTATTTTGAAGGTCAAATTGGTATGATCGGGAGCTGCTAGCATTCAGTTGTCAAAGAATGTAGTGAAAGTCCTTCTAGTGCTATGAATGGATGCAAAGCTTAAAGCTCATTGGTTCCAAAATTGTCTTTTTCTTACATTTCAAATCTAATATTGTAAGACTTTCTGAGCTTTAATGTCAGTTTTCATATAATTTATTACCGAAGTCCCTTTATGTTGGCTAGGGGAACTTTTCTGTTAGTTAATATAGAACTTCGCAGAAATATTCCGTAGCAGAGATTTTGAAAATGTGTCCGTCCTGTGATTCACAGATAGTATACTGGTATACATTCTTTCTTAGCTCAAGTCATAAACATAATGGGTGTAGGTTAAGAAGATTTTCTGGGTGTTTTCATAAAATTCCATGCCCCATTCCCTAACAATATTTATTATAACTTTCCAAACTTAGATTCTTGTGTTTCATTTCTCTGTAGGGGTTATTTCCTGTTCCATTTGGGTTTATGATATAGGAGACTGTTGACATCCAGAAATTTCCCAAAGTCCAAGTGTGGATGTGCTGTTTGGTCATTCACTCACTTCAACTTCCCAACAAATTAGAGATCAGTGTTTGCCTAAAGTCTTGGCCCTATCATCATCATCTCACTTAAATCTTACACTTTATAAAGTAGAAACAGCATTTTCGGTTTTTTAGAAACCATTATTTTTGGCCACTTTGGGGGTTTCTGCTTTTTTTGAATGTGGAAACTTGCATAAATCTTACTTATCAAAGAGTTTATGAACATTGCCTGTGACATAATTTTGTGTATTAAGAGTTAATATTTGTGATCAAATTGTTGAAAGCTAAGGATGTACATATCACAAAGAAAATCACAAAAATGTTCTTGAATAAGTTTTGTTTATTCTATCTAAAAAAATTAATTCTAATATTTTAAATTATCCTATGTGAGAGAAATAGGGTACTGACCAGTGGCAACAGTTTATTTGTAAAGTAGCCTACTAGGTGCTGAACAGATAAGCAGACCTGCTTATATATATGTCTACATGCACACATAAATGCATATATGCTTACATGTTTGTGTATTATACACGTACTTTATATATAACCTGAGATACGTTCTCATTCCTCTTTTCTAAAATTGCTTACCAGATATCCAAAGAGATATACTGCTAAAAGTGCATTTAAAATGGCATGTAATTTAATTATATATCAGAGGAGTTTAGCACATTATTCATAACTAACAAATAGTCAAAATACAACATAAAGATATCTTCTTTAAAAAAAAAAACCAAAAAAACAAGGGAAAAAGAACCCGCTGGGTTCGTGATCAGATAAATGTGTCTAACTGCACAGTTATCTTGTCTAAGTTGTGAATAAATAGAAATTTTACAAAGGGAATCATGTCAAAAGAGGAATAAGTCTGCCTGCCTTCATACAGTCCCCACTCTACCTGGTGTGGTCTGCAGGGAGCAGCACTACTAACCCACATGTTGCACCTCTCAGACAGTTTGAATCTTGCAGAGGCTCTGCAAGAGGATGATGGCAGTATTCCCACCCTCGGAAAGCCCCTGGACAATCAGCCATGAGTCAGAGCCACCAGACAGCAGTGACTGGGGTCTTCTACCCCAGGATTTAAAAGTAAGATGTAAACAACTAATTGCTATTTTTACTTTTAAGTAACATATTTTATATAACTTGTAAAACCACAATGAACTGAAACCCTAGTGACTAGAATCATTAGCTGTATTTTTCCTCCAAGTGACCTTTGGATGAAAACGTGATACATCTTTTCTTGAACTGAGAGCTGTTTATCCTGTAAACTCTGCCCACGTACGTCTGTGTCAGAGCCAACTGCACTGGCCCTGTCAATATCACAGAGGAACCAGATTGAAAGTAAATTCAGTTTCCCTTGGGTTAATTCTCATTCACAGAGGCCTGCGTATGTCTGAGTAGGACTGAAATTTGTACAATCTTCACTGATTTTTCCTGAGGAGATCATCAGCCTTTTCTCCCAAGGTACCTCTGTGCTGACTCTGATTGCATTCCTTGCATATCAACTGTTTGTACTCCCAGCCATTCTGACCTTTTCAAAAAAGAAAAAAATTATGGCACCCTTCTTTTTCATGTCTTTCTTATCTCTACTATCCCACCAAGATTGAGTCTATCAATGTCTACACTTTTCCCTTGCTTTTTATAGTAGTTGAGGTTTCATCTATGCAGTATTTCCTAAATTCTTGATCATTTTTTAGTGCTGTACAATACTTCATTATGCAAGTAATACTTCACTGTCTGTTTCTTTAGCCATTCATCCATTGTTGGGCACTTGGGAATTACAGAGATGGGGAGCCTCCACACTTCTAGGGCATGCAAGGAAGACCTTCCTTTGTTGTACACATGCCAAGCTGAGATTGCCAGCTGGATCACCCCTCCCCCTTCCCACTGGGCCCTCCTATACCTGGATGATTTGGGAGGACAGAATGGGGAGCACAGTCAATGGCCACTTCCTTTCATGATGTCATCTTCCAAAGGAAGATATTTACTCTTCCAAAAGGAAAAGGGCAAGGACAGCCCTAAGTAAAACTTCTGAGTAAACAGTGTTCCCCTGTGGTGTCTTTCCAGTTCACTTTGTGAGTTTCTTCCTACTTCCAGGTTTTCTGTTTTCCCACATCTAGTACACAGATGTTGTTGTTGTTATGTGCCGTCGAGTCGTTTCTGACTCATAGCGACCCTATGTACAACAGCCCTAAAC